TTTTCAAAGTAAAAGAATCGACGGTCGTACTAACGGCAACTTACTTCTTTATAAAAATAGGATGTGAAAATTTAAACTTTAGATGATCTCCTGGTTGAGGTAGCAAGCCCCAAAAGAATGACTCGCCTTTGTATGCTTTTTGTAGTGTATATTGTTTGTAAGGCTTGATCTGAGTCTCTACAGTTGCTTCAGGATTCTCATGAGCGTAAAATAGCGTTATCTTGCCAAATTGTTTGTCCTGTAAATATAACTTGAGACATTAGTTTATTTTCAGAATTGCATCCTCTTTCTGAGAAAAACACTCGTCACTACCTTAAGCTTCTGCACTTTTCCTTTCAAGGAGGAGTGGGTTCCTATATGTTGAAAGAGAGAAGGTTTATAATGCACCCACAATTCCGCTTTAGCCATTTTACAATGTTTCTGTTGGGATAAAAATAGATTGAAAGATCAATATACTTTATTACATATCGTCTGGTTATCATTATCCACACTTACGCTATCCTTATCGAGACTGCAGACTTTTGTCGATATTAAATGGTCCAATAGCCAATCAACAGGCTTATCGTTGTGGAACATTAAAAAGAATTGGATCAGCCAGGGAAGTTCCACGCATTTGAACAGTTTGCCTACAACATTAACAGAACTGAAAATATCTCTTCAATGTGTATCATAAAATCATTGCGCAGTAGATAACGATGCCGTACCGATAAAGCCGAGCTGACAGAAATCAAGGACAAACCAGTTTTCCTTTGTGCCAATTTTTTGTAACGCGAAGGATTTCATAGTAGTTATAAAGTTCTTCTTAGCCAATATATCATCTTCCAATTGTACATAGAACATGCCCTTGGTCTGGGCATAAGACATGAGAAAAGCAAAATCCAGATTCTGCTTGGACCGCCAAACGACACGTTGATGATCGTCACCAAGAGTGTCGCGCAATTTTGATAAATCTGGATAATATGAGAATGACGGTGAGATCACGTCGATCACGCCAGCTTCGCATTCGTTTGGAAATCTAAGGCAAAAGGAAAAATTCTGTTGTAAAGAAAAGTCTGTATTGATATAGTCATAGGTAAGATAAACATTTTGACTTCGTCAACTTACTGAACTTCAATTTGCTTCGCAACATACGTCACGTAGTCAATGTCTGTCTGCAAAAAAAATCAGTATGTACAAACAACTTTGTTAATTCATCAGTTGAACGACTTAAAACACAAACGGTACCGACGATCTAACTTGTAACTAACGATTTCACTTACTTCAGCTACCAAAACGACAATGAGAGTGTCAGCGGTCTCTGCAGTGCTCATGCGATCCAGCAGATTTTTCAACGTTGCCATAAGATAAGACTGAACCTCGCGTTTTACCGTTGGTACTCCCAGCACCATGCTCACTCCCGATCTACCTTTGCTCTGCGCGAACGCGGGTCGCAGGCTATTCGGATCGTTGAGGAAATGCGGTAGAAAATTGTAGATCGAGGGCAGCTTGATGTTGGTGACGTTGGAGGTGCCGTTGTTGATGAGCAGCTGCAGATCTGGCAAAATGTGATTGCTCTCGATCAGCTGTAGCAATTGATGCGACAGCAAGTTTATTTCCTCCTGGCTGCCAATGTATTTGGCGTGCAGATGCTCCAGCTTGGCCTGCAGCTCGGCGATACTGTTCTGCAGTACAGTCTCCTCGCGCATGTCTGACGGCGTCAGCAGATTCAGGATCGCACACGGAACCAAGACCAGCAGCAGCACGATTAGACATCGCTTTCGCACTGGAGTCAGCGTTGTGAAATGCGGCGTCATCTTTCCCTTTTCTACCTCTAGACGACATCTACCTCTCTACATGATTGCATCCATTGACTTCAGCAAGTAACAATGAGTATTATCTAGAAATGGCAGTTAAAACGTATCAGTGATCACGTGTACTATATAAAAACTTAATGCTTAATCTTATCATAAGATTGTATAAATTCCTATCTCTTGTAGCTATTTACAGAGTAAAGCAATCGATCGCAAACGCACTGTTCCGAATGTGACTGCCCGGGGAAAAAAAGTCACGTATCTAATTGTATCTAATTGTATAAAAAAATGTCAGACATGATAAAATTTGACCCGATCATATCCAAATTTTAAAGCATCCATTTAGGGCCAGTTTCACAAACATCGGTTAACTGTTAACTAGGGTTCAGTCGACTCCCTATCTTTTTTCATCTTATTATTTAAGAAGAGACAGCGGATCAATTAACCTTCGGTTAGCAGTTAACCGACGTTTGTGAAACTGGCCCTTATAGGCACATCAAGTCAGATACAGTCAGATAAAACGGTATAAACATCCGACTATATCTGACCACATCTACTTTGATACACTTGTAAACGGACGCATCAAAATTTGGATACAATACGATCGAATTTTATCACATGACATTATTCGACACGATTGGATAAAATTGGACATACAGCTTTTTTTCCCCCGGGTGTCAGCAACCGTAAATCTAAGGTGATCCAAGGCGTTGTCAATTAACTGTGACAAAGTGGGTGTTTCAGAGCCAATTTAAAATGCTATCTAAATTGCGCGTCAAAATCGTCAAACGTAAATGCACGTATTATCTTATACGTACGTAATTTCCGACACTTAGCCTTCCTCGAGGTCGCAGTTGACGAATGCGCGTCGCGACGACATTGCCCCGTCGTCGTCGCTGGAACCACGTTCCGTTCGTCCCGGCTGGGAATCCTAGGTGCACACGTCGCGCGACGTACGACACGCGGGTAACGCGCGTTCCCCGGGTTTTTCGCGGTGAAGAAGCAACGCCCGTCGCACACCCGTCTCTAACATAACCTCCCCGCTCGGACAGCAGGTTGTTTCGCGAACCTACCGTATATAGAAAATATACTGGGTGCACCGAGTGCCAAAGGCAGACGAGAAGCGCGGCGGCGGCGTCCGATTCCGGGGTCGACAGATCGCTCCGATACTTTTTCTCTCGGTGGAGAAAACCGGAGGGGCTCGAGGATCTGAAAATGGGAAGACAGAGAGTACGGGGAAACGTGAAAATCATGAGTTTAGCAAAAGAAAAATTTTTTCTGACTCGGACGACATTTTAATTGATCTTCGATGTATCTACACCGTTAGATACGCGTCGATTCGAAAACGCTTTCGCGCATTTTTCCGCGGGACGGTACTCAAAGCGCGACATTTATCGAATCCTCTCGTTCCAAGACAATTAATGCTCGCTAGAAAGCGACGATTCGACGAAAGAAAAGAGGAAAAAAGAATTAATAGCTCGTCAGCCCGTACATTCATTGTCTCGTGCGCGGCTCGCGTAGCAAGACGCTATGTAATCTCGGCGAATATTTAGATTTCTCTTTTTCGCAAACCGGCCAGATATGCATAGGGAGGTAGACAAAGGCCCGCGTTCAGCAGACACAATTGTTGAGTGAGCGCTCAGTATGATTGGTTAATACTTCTAGATCCAGCCAATCATGTTAAGAAACCATTGAGCGCTCACTCAACAGTTGTGACTGCCGAACGTGGCTTATGATTGGTTAATACTTCTAGATCCAGCGAATCATGTTAGTCCCAGTCTACAATAGAGATTTAAGCCCTAAGCTTTAAGAAATTGGCCAATCACGGTCAAGTATGAGAAGAATGCGCGACTGTGATTAGTCAATTTCTTAAGGCTTAGGGCTTAAATCTCTATTGTAGACTGGGACTTAGTCCCAGTCTACAATAGATGATTTAAGCCCTAAGCTTTAAGAAATTGGCCAATCACGGTCAAGTATGAGAAGAATGCGCGACTGTGATTAGTCAATTTCTTAAGGCTTAGGGCTTAAATCTCTATTGTAGACTGGGACTTAAGAAACCATTGAGCGCTCACTCAACAGTTGTGCCTGCCGAACGTGGCTTATGATTGGTTAATACTTTTCGATCCAGCCAATCATGTTAAGAAACCATTGAGCGCTCACTCAACAGTTGTGCCTGCTGAACGTGGCTAAAGCCTATCACACAATGCGAGGCAACAGGCAACAGGAACAGGGAATAGAATTTCTGACGCGTTGGATTGGTTAGTAGAAAATTTCTGACGAATCCAACGCGTCAAAAATTCTATTCTCTATTCCTATTGCCTGTTGCCTGGCATTGTGTGATAGGCTTAAATATCCGTATTCATAGTCGTTCCTCAATTCTCAAGGGTAGTTTGTCTTTGTCTCGCGTATGGTAAAACGTAGTAGCGAGACAAAGACAGACTAACCTTGAGAATTGAGGAACGACTATGAATACGGATATAAAGCCCGCTGCAGACGATGCTATTTTTCCTGCTGGATTGCTTGCAATTTAGTAAATTACTAGGAATCCTGAATGCTGAGTGGTGCAATGATAGTAATTTACTAAATCGCAAGCAATCCAGCAGGAAAAATAGCATCGTCTGCAGCGGGCTTTAAATCGCAAGCAATCCAGCAGGAAAAATAGCATCGTCTGCAGCGGGCTTTAGTGTAAGTAGCGAGAGTGTGAGTAGTGAACGAATCGACCAATCGCCGCTGAGAACTCTCGGCTGCGATTGGTCGAGCGCGCGCGCATTCTCCACTCGTTGATGCGGAGAAGGACACGGTCTCTCGCGGTCTCTCGTTGGTCCGCGTAGTCGATGATCGAACGACTGGCTGAGTGTGAGCCCAAATTATTCACGATGGGTGATGATTAGTTCACAATGACATTTCGTGCGTGAGACATTAGTGAACTTCTCACGACTGTCCTTGATGATCTCATCACACCGCGACGTCTCAAATCGGTCGACGATAACGCAACCTCGAGCGCGCTCGTCGATAATCGAGTACCGTTGCGTTGCTGCGCGTGTAAAAAATTAATTTTGATTAGGAACGTCCGTGCAGGGTGGCAGCCGGGGTCCGTCGCTATCTCTGTTAGCTGCACCAAATGGTAAAAATGACGCCGATGGACGAGGGGAGGCTTCGACAGGGTCTAACCAAGGTACGGATCGTCAGTTTTATCGTTGCTTTAACGATCTTGTAACATAATAAAGGCTGTTCCGTTGCAGTATCAAAATCCAGACATAACAAAGAAGCATGTGATAAGCGTCGTGAATGTGTACAAAGGTTTGGCGTATAAATTCGAGCCTTTCGGTAAGTATTCGCTACTTGCGATTGTGGCAGCTTGTAACAGAATTGCTCCGCGATAGCCCACAGTCTGTTAAACTCGTTTGCTGTTTACAACAGTTTTCAACGATGGCTCGCGTAGAGAATTACTTAACCTGCAGGGAACTATACCAGTTGTTTACAAAGGTAACCTCTGTTCAGAGCAATCTCCAGTGTGCGTATTAATTGTACGATGAAGCTATAAAATGTTGCCTCTCGATTACTTGTTTTACAGGCTCCTCCTACAATATTCCAATCTGCATATGGCTGATGGATACGCATCCCAACAATGCGCCTATGTGCTACGTCAAGCCAACGGCAGATATGCATATCAAAGTCAGTATGTATGTCGATCACAACGGTAAGATCTACTTGCCGTATCTTCATGACTGGGTGCCCGTGAGTAGACTCGCCATTGATCAGCAAGAACGCGCGCGGCTCTCCGATATTTATTTCTCTCGCTCTTTCTTCTTTTAACAGCACAATTCAGATTTGCTCGCTCTAATTCAAGTTATGATTGTCACCTTCGGCGAACAGCCCCCGGTTTATGCCAGGTCAAGATCAGAAATGCAACAGAGCTCGACGCCGTATCCCGTACAGTGTGAGTATACTTGTAGAGCGAGCATTAAGGAGAATTCTATCGGTGTCGCGTCAATAAGAATTTGTCACGCAGCGTTCATGCCTGTACCCGGCGGCGGAAATGTATCGAGTACCGGCTTCCCTCCGTATCCGCCAAATTCTCAGTATTCCGGCGGCAGCAATGTGTACCCGCCGTATCCGTCTACGGCGTCCGGAGGATTCCCGTATCCAGGTTCTTACGGCTCTTATGCAGGAACCACGCCCAGTTACCCGACGCAAGGCTACACTGGTTCATATCCTTCGTATCCGCCAGCCACGCAACCGGTACACAATCGTTGTCGTTTATCTCAGCCCGGGCGACATTGATAATTGACGTTTACATTTGAGAACAGTCGATATCTAGAATTATTATTAATCTAATTTATAGTTGAGGTTTCACTTGAGAGTATGTTAGATTAAATAAGCGATCGTTTGCAAGTCGCCGACGGTACAACCAAGTTCCGGAGGATCAGGCACGATCACGGAGGAGCACATACGGGCGTCTCTGCTGTCCGCGGTGGAGGATAAACTCCGACGTCGACTCAAGGAACAGTTCTCGCAGTTGCAGGCCGAGCTGGAGACGCTGCGACGAACGCAGCAAGAGCTGTCGAGCGGCTCGTCGCACCTAGTAGATCTTTTCGACAAACTCAAGAAAGAGAAACTGGAACTCGAGAAAAACGTGAATATCTTGCAAGACAAGGAGGCAGAGCTGGAAAAGGAGATCGCCAAGTTGTCTGATAATCAGTCGATAGATGTCGACGAAGCTGTTACTACCATCGCGCCGTTGTATAAGCAGTAAGTGTATAAATGCAAATTTTACTGCAAAATAAATTTACTTAGCACGAAACTGATATAGCTAGAGCTGTGGAAAGTTTTACAAATTGAAGTTGCAGCAGAAATTGTGATAAATTAGGCTCGATGGTAACGTCGCTTAAATTTCCAGGATGCTGAATGCTTTTGCCGAAGAGGCTGCCACCGAGGACGCAATTTACTATCTCGGCGAAGGTCTGCGATCCGGTATTTTAGATTTAGATGCGTTCCTGAAACAAGTTCGACAACTGTCGCGCAGACAATTTATGTTGAGAGCACTAATGCAGAGATGTCGACAGAAAGCCGGTCTGGCCGGTTAAAAAATATCCCCCATACGCTTCCTCCTAAAGCGGCAATCTTTCATTTTGTTGTCAAGTATTTCGTTGTATTAGGCGATCGAGATGTAACGCATAATTTGTATCCGCATTGAGGAGCACAGAGAATTATTTTATCGACAATAAATGCCACCTGCTTATGGTGTATAATATAAATGAGAGGAAAACTGTGTTTTACATGGAAAATAAGAAAAAAAATTCAACAGATTGTATATTCAGTCCGGATGAGATTCAGTGCAGATACAATATTTGTGGCACATTTAAATATGAAAGTAGACTATTCTTTTCACACGGGACTATACGTTATCGCTATGATATTTGCATGATTAGCTTAATTGATCACGCTGTAGTCTGTGTTCACAGAAAACGAGTGAGCCTTTATTATCTCGAGGTGCACAAAACTCGTTGCGTACCTGTATTACAAACTTTATGCCTTCATTGTGATAAAGATTGAATAAAACTTATGCACAATATAAAAAGATACTCGCAGTGGTGCGTTCAGTTAATTACAATAATGATAAAATGTTACAAAAGTGGAAACCTTTCCAAGCGCTTGTACCATTACGTATTACTTGTATATGAATAAGTTTAACTGGAACAAATCAAGAACTTTGATACACATTTTATATTATATATATATATAGCTTTTTCAACAATGAATTTTTTTTTCGATAGAAATTTTAATCCCCCGACGTTATCTACACGTAAATTCCAACCCAGAGCAGCAGGAACAGCACTCCGAAGCTAGAGAATAACGATGCGACCAGGGAGATTAACGCCTCCTTGCATATATCCCGCGTGAATTTAGTGCTGGTAACTTCGTAGACGAAGAACCAAGCCGTGAAGAATACTCCAATTCCTAGCAGCACCACAGCCAGCAACGGAAAGACAGCTGGGTTCACCGGCGAGACGTATCTCGTCATCGACTCGATGTCCATCTAAAGCAAACCATAAACAGAATCAATAAATAACAACGGCTCGTATGGCAAAATCAAAGAACAATAGAGGGAGCTCGGAGCCTGAACAAGGCTGTAATGTCGGATGAAATTACTTTATTACAATAGCAAATGTATACAGGGTGTCTCATTTTAAATGATCCACGTAAATATCTCCAAAAGTATGATGGATACGGAAAAAGGTTTTAAACAAAAGTTGTTTGGTTCGAAGGGGGACATGAGGTGGTGCCATTGGCTTGACCATGGATAGTCATTTGAAGGTCGCGTAAAGGTTACCTTCAATTTTTTTAATGGAACCCCCTATTGTTTATTACACTATCTTAGTCTGCTAATTAATATGAACAACTTTTGTCTGAAACATTTTCTGATTTGCCTAATACTTTTCGAGATATTCGAGAGAAAATTTACAACCTTTTCAACGTTTAGCTTATGATATCTCGACAACTGTTTGTCGGAGGGAAAAGTAGTACAGGACCTTTTTTACTTGATTTAGTCTCAGGAATATGCTGTTGCAATAGCGTTTCAATTATTGAAAATTTCCGTGTGTTGTAACACACAAAACTTACATGAACAAGTTTTCAATTCGAGAACCAAAGAATCCAAACGGAGACAAGAGACCGATTAGTAGGCAAATATTTAATTTGTATCTTTTCTAAATTTATACCTTCTGTTTCTTTCTCTTTTCGTATTCGTCTTGCGGCGAATACGATTAAGGTTAGAGACAGGTAACTTGAATTAACCTACGCGAAGAGTCAACGAAAGAGTTAGTCGGTCTTCTGCGTAAAAGTTAACAATTTTCACTTGCCATTTTTCGAGATTGGTGCGTTTCCGCGTAGCTGGCGGGAAGAAACTCGGGTTAAACTCGGCCGACGGAGTCGATCCTCAACGAGTAATCATGAAGCCTGACTTCGTCGTGGTATCAGCTGGCATCATGGCATTGGCGAGCCTCGGTTGGGCAGAGAGCATGTAACTACCGAGGTAGCTGGCCGGGCGAAAGCACTTGCCCTCCACTGTCGCGTCATCTATCACCAATCGTCTTAAATCCTCTCTTTCTTTCATTACGGCCTCGGTCGGTAAAACGGCAACCATTACAATTGCACTCTCGATGCCCCCGATGCCCCCCGCGCGTCCGCCGTTCCGTTTTCGACGAGACACGCGGACGTCTTTCCTGATTCTGAATAAGCGGAGAGTACGAAGGAGTACGAAGAGATCGAATCCAATCGGGACTCGTACGCGTGCCTGTTCGCGCGTACGTTTGCTCGCCTCCGCGACGCGTGCGATTTCGAACGGCGACGGTGCAGCAGTGCGCGCAGTCAACGGTCACGGTGAGAAGAAAGGACGGGCGGAGGAAGGAGGCGTCGCGCCTCTCGAGTGCCGTGTTCCGCGCTCGAGCGCCTGTTCGCGCTCGAGAGCGTCCGGTGGGACCACGTCCGATCGTGCACGAAACCCTTGTCCTTCTGGCATCGTCGCGCATCGTCTCGCGGCAGCCGCGCGGCAGCAGGTCCGCCCTCCGAGTTGGGCACGTCGCGAGCCGTCGGGAGCCACCGCGGGGGAGTGGCGTAATCGCGAGCTGGGCGAGATCGCGAGGAGGTGGTGGTGTGTGCGTGACGACAGCGGTTTTTCGACGCGACGGTGACCCCGCGCGCGGACGCGGCGCGGCGCAGGAGAGTCGACGAGGCAAAATACGAGGTACACGCGCGCGTGCGATGTTAGCCGCTCGTCGGCCGAACGGATTCGCGCGACGTATTGCACAGTTACCCCTGGCCCGTGCGTGCGTGCCCGCGCTACGCCGATGTGAGTCGGACGGCCGTCCCGGGCTACGATAAATCGCGACGCGACGTTTAGATATCAGGACGCCAGCGGTCAATTTACGCATCCACGAGCCGCAACATGTTCTGGACGAATAATTACGTGTCGTCGCCGCATATCGAGGCATTGCTCAACAAGGAGGTGAGTGACTCGTCGCACGCGAGCGTCCTTTACCCCCCCACAAATGCACGAGCCTTTCCCTCTCCGCGCGCTCTCTCTGTCTCTCTCTCTCCCTCCGGGGAGTCTCGTCATCTAACGACGACGTATCTAATCGGTTGCTCCGTTACAGGATGTCACGCTGCACGAGCTGATGGATGAGGAGGACATCCTGCAGGAGTGCAAGAGCCAAAACAAAAAGCTGGTTGAATAGTGAGTGGAATTATTGTTGCCTTTTCCGTAAATTTGACCTTGCGTCGAGCGTTCGTTGTACGTAGTGCCTTGGCTACGATAAAAATTATTGTCGTGTGTCACCGATAGTCTCACGAGGCCCGCCGTTATGGAAGAGTTGGTTACGTTAACCACTAAAGAGCCATCCACGGACATCGAAGAACGTTGGCGCTACAAGTATCCCAATGTCGCTTGCGAATTGCTCACATGTGATGTGCCTACATTGAATGAGAAACTGGCAGGTACTTGGAGCCCCGTTAAATGCTTGATGAGTGGCCGTTTGCGAAAGGATTTTATTTTGTAAACACGTTCTCGAAACTTTTGCAGGTGACGAGGCACTTTTGGCCAAATTATATTCTTTCATAGATACAGATCAGCCATTAAATCCACTGCTTGCGTCATTTTTCAGTAAAACTATCGGAGTGCTAGTTGCTCGTAAAAGTGACCAGGTAATTACATAAACGCTTGTTGATTTTACGCAGAAGGCGATTACGTAAGATACAGCTCGGATAAGTCGGCTGTAGTTTTAATTTTGCAAACATTTCTCTTCGAGACTTGACGTTTGATTCAACGTCAACAAGTACTATTAGTTGATTAATGAACTTTTTCTTGCCTCTCCTACATTATCCACGCACTTATCCGTCCTATATATTTCCATCCATTCCAGAATTGGTATTCCTATCAGTTCACATGCTTACAGGTTTTAGAATTCCTTAAGAGTCGCCAGAGATGCGTAGATCTACTGTTGCAACATTTAGAGACTTCGGCCATCATGGACTTAGTACTCAAACTTGTAACTCAGGTTGAGGGCAGTGATATGCGTCAAAACATATTAAATGTAAGAGATTTGCCATCTATTTGTTCTTATTCTTGTTCATCTAGCAACTACTATTATGCAATCGAGTTCTTTTCAATATACGTGTATGTGTGTGTATGTGCGTCTCTTTGATAGTGGCTAGATAGTCAACATTTAGTGCAAAGACTGGTAAAATTGTTAGCACCTACTTCAGAAGTAGCGAAACACGCTAACGCGGCACAATTACTTTGCGATATGGTGACGGTAGCTAGAGAAACTCAACGTACATCCACAGAGCGCGCTGATCCAGATCCTATTTTAAATACCTTAGAATCGTGAGTATATCCTGCGAACTTACGTAAACGTTTTACATGCGGATATTTACACAGAATGACATATAACATAATTTCGTTGCGCAGAGGAGAAACTGTGAGCCTATTGCTAGAAACTATCCTAACAACAGAAAAGGTAGAAAGTAGTATTGTCGGTGGAATACAAGTGCTTTTGGTACTCTTAGGTCAAAGAGCCAGCAAGTATGACGAGAATATTTTACAATATCATATTTCATGGGTGGACGAAGCACCGCGTACAATAGTCTGAATTCTTTGCAGCTCGTCAAATGAAGGAGATGTGCATGGTAATGGCGAAGATACCACGGATAATGAGCAATATATTAAAATTTCTAATGCTACTTTACCATATTTGGAACATCTTCACAAACTTCTTCTAGACCCGCCACATGTAAGAGCTGCCTCAGCGTTGTAAAATTGCGAGCTGTACAAGCGTAATGTGTTGTGTTAAAAACCACGGCATTTTTATTATTCAGAAACCTGCCGTTAAAACAACCGTTGGACTATTAGAATGTCCATTGGGAAACACTCGTTTGCACGTAGCAAAGTTGTTAAGTGCATTACTGGCAACGGAGAATTTGAAGATCCACGAAAGTTTAGAAAATTTGGGAACATTCCAAACTTTGTTGGTAAGGTCGTGTTGTATGAGTATCGCGTCAAGTGTTTTCTACTTTGTCACTTTTATTCACTTTATCGAAATGTGTTACAGGATCTGTTTTTCAAGTATACATGGAATAATTTCTTACATACGCAAGTACAACAGTGCCTGGCATTAGCTATTAACTGCGGACAACGGGATAATGATATTATTTATAATAATGTGAGTTATATTTGTAGTACCAAGCAAATTGTGATATCGGAACATTAAATAATTCCAATGTATCAACTTCCAGATATTTATCAAGTGCAAATTAATAGAGAGAATCTTAGAAGCATGGGAGAAAAACGAGAGTAAACAGTAAGATTGTCGAAAGCATTAAATTGCGCGGAATATCTCGCATATGTTTTGTAAGAGAAAATTCAGAATTTATAATATCGGGATTTGATTGTAGAAACAAGGAAAATGGAGTTCGCCAGGGCTACATGGGTCATTTGATAAATATCGCGAACAATATCGTCATCCAGTGTGAAAAAAATAATATACTGGCCAGCTTCTTAAAGAACAATTTATCACCCGAGTGTCTTACTAAATGGGAAAATCTTGTGAGTGTACAGTTGGTGGAGATTAATAAGATTCATCAAACTGTAATGATGGTACGTGGTAATGGGATATCTTCCTTACTCTCTCTTTTTTTTCTTTTCCTGCAAGTGTATCACGCCCGTGGATTTAGTAATAACGGGTAATTTTCTTCCATGCAACCGTAATGATTTATAACAAAAAAACTTTTAAGTTTTTCATACATTGCGCGTTTTCAACACGTCTGCAGCGAGAAAGCAGCAATCTTGATTACAATGAGATTTTTAGGGTGACCAGACTCCAGTGTACCTGATGGGTTCCGAAGAAAATCCAAACGAGTACAATTCTTATTCGCAAGAGGCATACATTCAACAGGTTAATAGTTACACTGTTATATTAATGATGCGTACACTATGATTATCTAATTCTTTATTTATCGTACGGTATTCTTGGTATTAGATGTACTCCAATTATCAGGGTCAACAAATAACACCTCCGTTCATCGAAAACTTTGGATTCCACGACGATGAGTTTAATGACGGCGATGATGCGCTTCAGTAAGTATACGCACGAGATCTCATTTAAAAAAAACAAAGTATAGCATTCTAGGGGCGCAAACGTAGAGTTTACAAGAGCCAAGAAAGCACACACGCGTGAAAAGAGCGCGACGTTAATATTGTCATAGTCATTTCTCCCCCACTGTTTTCGTTAAGAGGTATGATATTATAGTAATCCAGTTGACCAATTAACAACGTTGGCCTTTACTCTCAGTGAAGAAGATCTCGACAAGAGAGAAGATATGTTCAATAAGGTAAGTATCTATTCGGTTGTCTAATCAATGAAATGCGTATTTGAAACTGAGAGTAAAAAAATGACTCGGTGTATTATATTAAAGCTGTGCCAACAAAAACAAAAAGCCGGGCTCGAGGATTGCGGTAGTGGCCTAGAATGGGGAGACGAGGGCGAACTGACGTTCCAGACCGTGGTGGACAAACGAGATTGGCACTCGAAGCAACAACATCAGGATTCTAGTTCGTCGGACGAGGATGACGAGGAGCCGCGTGACATGCACATGGAGGTCGACACGACTGATCGTATGTTTCTCTCTCTCTCTCTCTCTCTCTCTCTCTCTGTCTTTGCCAAGAATTCTTCTATTGTTAAAAAAAATTTGAGATTGTTTTGTTAAAATAAATTATGACATGTTAGCTTGGGACACTACTGAACCACTCAACACTGGAACTATACTCCCGCCGGTCAATCCTTGGGATGTGGTGCCGTCAGAACCAGTAGAATCCACTGGATGGGCCAATTTTGAAAATTTTGAAAATACTTTAAGTATAGAGAGTACCGTAAGCGAAGATAAAAAGCCATGCGATGAGCTTAAGGAGAAAACATTGGAAGCAACGGCCGAGAACTTAACGGAAAAGAATACGGCTTCTAGCGAAAGTGTTGGAGATGGTATTGAAAAGAACAGAGACGTAGATAGCCAAGTTGGAACGGGATTACCGGTTGCGGAAACTAATCTTAACGAAGACAAATGTGACGAGCACAAAACGGTCTCCGTGAAGGAGAACGTCGATTCTAGCGAGTTACCAGTTAACAGGTATATAGTGTCTAGTGTTTATATAATGTGTCTAGTTTATTGACTCTAGAATATTACGTTGTTTCTTTTAGAGATCTTCAGAGCACGACAGAGATCGGAAAGGATCCCGTAAAGGATGTGAAGAGCGTGGAGAACGACAAACCGTCAATTGAACATCAAGTTCCAGCCGCTTCGTCGGAAAGTACATCTACTAGCACCGTTGACGCCGTACCGGTGCCTAAAGACGCTAAATGAAACGTTCCCCCTTGCCTATGTTAAATAATCCATGGCAATAGGAAGAGAATCATATCAGTATCGAGTCGTACGCGAACGATCGGAAGCATATTGCGCCTTCTCTATTTTTCATTAGACACCACACGTTAATTATGCTTTAAGAAAACGTTGACGCTGGACACATTGTGGTCCTGCTGCAGGGTATCTCTTTGAATAAATCCAGAATGCCGAAAAATGATCGACGCTCAACTATACTTAGCGAATAATTTGATGTTTATTACATATAGGTACATCCCGTTCCCTTTCTATCCCGCCCCTCGAATGGCCAACGTCTATAAGTATCCGTGCAAAAATCAAGTCCTCCCTCTGTCTCATATATTTTACGATTATTGTTAAGAGTTTCGTAAATTGTTATACGTAACCGCTAAATGATTTCTAGCAAAGTAAAACGAAGTGAAGAATGGAGAAGATAAATCGCAACGTTGCGATTTTTACGCGATTTATATAGACAATTTGTAAAGAGAGGGAAAGGAGATGATGGATAAATCTCGCATCTGCTTACTCCACTCGCGACATTGATTTTTCACATACACGTACACACACGAAGACACACAAACACAGAACATTTATTATACGTTTATATGTTAAAGAAGCGGAAACATAAGAGAGTTATCGTAACGCTGTTTAATATTATATAAGACCGGTATTTCACAAACTGGTGCTTTTGCTTATTCCTTCGATAAGGCAAAGGTACTTAGGTGCAGTGCCTACTGTTTAACTGAGTGTACGTTAGTTCAACGTAATGATAAGAGAGGAAAGAGGGTAGGAGAGAGAAAGAGAGTCGAGAGTATTTTTATTACCTTTTGTCGTAATAACCAGTCGAAATTTGTACATGATGTCATACTAATCGTGCCCTTGACGAACTGCGCGCTTATTTGCATTCCACCAGGAACAAAAAGAGAGGGAAGATTTATACGTACCTTTAAGCGACCGTTGAAGTCTTCATCGAGATCTTCCAGAAGTAAATCGTTTCATTGCAGAAATTAATGTGTCTAAAGTGTCGCGCGTGCTTCGTTCGAGCTGTTTTATGTACACCCATCGTTCTTCGAGATTTCATTCATTTTTGCGAGTTATGTTACCTGACTGTTCCGATTTTGCGACTTTCTTCTGCCTCGCAGATTTTGCAGCAGCAATGTGTTTATAGCGTTGTACACGAGATATTGTTCATAATTAAATGAAGGGAAAAAAACTAATAAAACATTGTTCTAAATCCTAAAGAAACGCACGTGTCACATCATTACAGATTTAATATCGAAATTTATAAATTGCGTACAATGCGTCGTCTGCACGTTCTATATCTCTTATACGGCGTATAATTAATAATTTACTATTCCCGATAACATCGTCGTGTATGCGCAGTCTTTACGTTTCAGATTTCTCTTTTTTGCTTTCGATCGATAAGCGCGTTTAGATGCGTGAGATTCAGTACGTCGTATCCCAAGGTAGAAAAATTTGTTCAGATTAGGAGAACTCGTCTGCCTGTGGTGCACTGTACAACGATATATCGACACTCTCTTGTCTGCAAAGCAAAGAAAAAGGAATGACGATAACGTCGGAGTTATTATTCGTAGAAAGTCCACGTTTGCTCGTTCAAACGGGAACAGGACGAGAGCAAAGGATAAAACTCTTTACTCGTTACCTCTCGGTGCTTTCGCTACTCGTCGTGTTGTCCGCGTCCGTGAGAATCCCAATCTCGTAAACCACAGCCTTTATCACGTATCTGAAGACAGCAAGTGATACATTCACAGCAAATTATTTTACATGTGCATTAGAGAATATTCGAAAGAGAATTACACGTCGGTGTTGGGCGTGATCTCCGTCGAATTGTCCGTCGAGCTATCCATCGAATTATCCATCGAACTGTCCATCGAGCTGTTCATTAAACTCCCCATCGAACTCTCCATCGAACTCTCCATTGAACTCACCATTGAGCCGTTAATCGAACTGTCCTTCAAGATATCCGTTAAATTCGCCGTCGTCCAACTTTCGGACGTTGAGGTCTCGAGATCCTGTTGGAAAGGTATAGGACTGGCAGCCACTCGTTGCAAGGTCGTCGATGTTAATATTAATATAAATAATAAGAGTGCGATGTAGGATGGCCAGAGGGGCCGATTGCGATGTGAGACGGCGCGCGACATTTTAAGGCGACGAGGCTTCGTACGATCTGACCACGACTTTTATAGCGGTGGACATCTGTCCCTCGTTAACACCACCGTGTCTTGCACGTAGATACTTTTGCCTTACGCATTCTCGATCGGTTCATAAGTGGTAGCGGAAATTTTCCTGGTTGCGCATGGAGCGATGCAACCCGCTGTTCAATTCCAGCCAGCATTTGCTCGTGCTTAATCGCGGGGAATATCTTTGAATTTCGAAAGAATCGGGGACAGTTTCGAGAAAGAGTTGACGTTTTGAAAGAAAAAAAACCATACTGTACGCAAGAGGGTAACTGATCAATTTCGAGCAAGGTGATCGAGAAGAGAAAAGTCTACGATGCGCGCAAATTGTACGCCGCGCTTCGCCCTGCGGCCCTGTAATTAATTTTGCAAACGGACTTGTTAATGGAAATGTTATACTGATAACTCGTTCAAGGTTTCCAAAGAAATCTCTGATGTATTCACGTATTATCGTGAAACGAGTTTTTTTTTTGCGCAATAAGATAAATTCTTATTGCGCAACATATAGATACCGATGTAAAATATATATTTCCCAGCTCGCTCTAATAATATCGTTCGGGTGTGCATTTTAATAAGTGCATCTTTTACCCATCGAAAAATGACTCGTCGATCGACATCGAAACGATGCCGGATCGGCATCGACACCGTCAAATTGGCGTTGATTTAACATGAATTTGAAGGTGTCAATGTCGATTCGACATCGTTTCGATACGATCGATCGACGAATCATTTCGGCACTCGAATGGATTCCTTTCCAAGCTGTGAAATGTACGATTCTTCACTTTGCAGTGCGACAGCAAACTTGTTAAATTTTCCAAAGCGATATCGAGATTCTGCCCGTGCAATTTTGTCTTTGTGTATCGCCGTCTCAAACGTGGTAATTCAATTAGCGCGCTTACGCAAACACATCGCGCCATTTGGATACAGATACCGGCGCATCATTCGAAATAATGTCCGGTACCTCAGACGCTATTTTAACGCGAGTCAAGTGACCGGGGGATGTTATGTACGTCAGTAATAGTCGACACTATGTGTGCGTACACACGTTGAAAAGACCGGACGAAAGAGAGGAAGCATCCCAGTGAAAACAGTATAGTCAAAATGATGTCAATATGACATCAAGATCGTTAATTGTCGTCATTGCGTCAGGGAAATATTTGAACACGGTGAAAAATTGACTGTATCTGTTTTGGCACTGTTCATCTTGCGTTTGAACAATTCTTTCATAGAGCAAGTCTTTTACGATTTATTTAAGGTCGTCATGTTAGATGACTCACTCTGCATATACTTACATATACCAGTACGGGAATTCTTTAACTTGTAATCGATGCCTTTCGGTATCGTTAACTAGCGACAGCCAATGGCGAGAACGATCTTCGAGAAAGACGCAGATTTTCATTGGCTGTTCCTAGTTAACGTTACCGAAAAATCTCGATAACAAGTTACAGAATTCCCGTACAGGGTTGGGAAAATTACTTTATAAAAGTATCTAGTTACAGCTACAGTTTTTAACTAGCTAAAAATGTAACTAGTTACAGTTACAAGTTACTAATTCTGAAAAGTAACGCGTTACAGATACAGTCACTCAAAAAGTAACGAATCGTTACTTTGCAGTTACTTTATCGCGATGAAAATAAAAGTATCAAATCTGCAGTTGAATTATAATATAAAGTGTCGATAAAGCCCGGGTACCACAAAGTAACGGCGTAATATTGCGAAATAATGTAAATGCAATACCGTGCAATTATTAATACATCGCCGTTTTACTTGATACCGTTTCGGGAGATTGTTTTGCGCGCCTTTACGCGCATTTTTACTTTTTCTCGGTTGAACAGAGTTAGTCGTTAATTTAATCAATACCAATAAGTCCGCGGAATAATGCACAAAACGTAGTAACAGTCACGGAACAAAGTAATGTAACATATTAAGTACAGAATTTTCAATTTCGTAGACGGGACAACAAACTTTCAACGTTTTTTTTTTGGTTGTTTGTCTCTCGGCACGGTGACGTACGATGTTTTTGCGTGCCATTGTGTATCCGAAGGTCGTCGCGCTATCATTCGCTCGCCGAACGTCGAGCCAGCAAGCAGTGCAGTGGCGAGAGTCGCTCCGTGCGTGTTATTACTTTTGCGTTATCGGCCTCCAAGACTCGATCGCGATGAATGAAGGGATAAATCGCTATTGATTTGCACACCTTTAAAAGTAACGTTCCTCGATTAATTATTAAGTTTCTGCAACTTGTAATGAGAAACGAATTGTATATATGTTGAGGCGTCGGCTCTTTATCAACGTATACGTAGAATTTCACGAGACTAATTCATCTTAAATATGAATGTAAACCGTGGTACTTTGTCGCGGTTACATCTCGTTTACGCGCCGCGCTTTTAATTATACTATCGGTTTTGTGTAATCTGTTCCATTTTCGGGAAAAGAGAGAAATTTGTGCGACTTCGGCGTTCGCTCTGTAATTCGCTCTGTCGTTCTTCGCCAATTCAAAAGTGATTTATCCACTCTTCCGAATCAAAAACTCAAGTTGTTAGTTCGCGTAATTTGTATATGACAGAAAGTCACGCGGTATTTCACATCGCGTACGGGAGTGCCCGAAACGCGCGATCGATGATTTTCGTGAGTGAGTCCCAGTGAGAAATCATTCGTCGATCGATGTCGAAACGATGTCGAATCGACGTCACTTTGACGGTATCAATTCGACATCGTTTTGACATCGATCGACGAATCATTTCTCACTGGGTCGAGTGTTGTGTGAGTGCAACAAGGAAATCTGAGAGGAGGAGCAGGCTTAGAAGGCATCGGGCAACGGCGGAGAAATCGTGAGGTAAGTGTCTTACATTTTTACGTTATCTGTTACTTGCGCGAAATGAGGCATCTGTTCCGCGTTTTTATTTGATCTGTTCAAATGATTCGAACGAGGATTCGAATAAGTATTAGCTTTTACCGATAAGAGCTTGAAAAGGAATCTGTTCGGTCGCGCGCTCGCTCGATAGTGAGCAGCACAGATCACAGATGGCGCGAGCGCCTTCGTTTCAGGCTAAACTTGAATCCCGATGTAGAGCGCACGGTTATTTATCAGTGTAGAGATTTTGCTGTTGCTTACGTTTACAGCTGTAATAAGCTGTCAGACGTAGGTCTTTCGCGTTCTGATGCGAGTGAAATTCTGTCGGCATACTCGCGAGACATGACGACTATCGTGACGGACGTACAGCAGCCCGATTATCCCAAGTATCAGCAAACGAAGGTTAGGAGTCGTGTGTTCAATGCGAGTCGAGTTTATTACGCGAGATAGATGTGTATTTATCGATTAAAGGAGCGAAGCGACTATTCGTTTAATGTATATTTATTCTGTATTTTATATATGCATAAGTATTTGTCTCCGATCTAATTGCGTCGTATAAATTTGCAGAATTTCGAGCTTACGCAGGAGGAGGCAGAAGTCTGGGTAGCGTGCGTGAACGGCTCGAGTATCATCATGCCGACGTTCACTGTCGCGGCCATGGGATACGGGTTGTGCAAATTAAGCTCGTTTCGCTCGTACGCCGGCTACGCCGGGATAATCAGCGGCATGGTGGGCATGATAGTGGGTAGAATAGTCATCTCCCGAAAGTGTCTGAAGAAGGTCGCTTCCATGCCGAACAGTACACTCACGGAGAGATTGATAGAAGCGGGTTACTACAGAGGCAGACCCATGCCGCATAGGTATCGCTCCCAGGCGAGGGGTAAACCGCTCGAGGCATTACGTAGGGATTTGCGGCATTGCTGGGCACTGCTAGGCTTCTTTCGGGCATTAGTTTGGACGTTAGGCCTCGCTGGGGTGTTGTAAAGATAAAGGATGCTTCCCGGCAACGTATACAGACGGCACTAATACAGTGAATCGTTTTATCGTTGCTCGCTGTCACTAAACAAAGATTAAATGAGTCTCTGTGTTACACTGTATCAATCTGTGTCTCTTGCTGGGGAGCACCTGAAGTAAGATAAAACAAGTTAATTGAGATACTGAGATAAAGTAATGCGCACTGGGCATTAGTAGGCATTGGTGTACGTAATTTTGGTCAGCGGTTTACCCCTCGTTTCCAGATAACTTGATCGCCTGATTATTTGTTTATGATCTCTTCGTCGAAACCGGATCTCACTCGTCTTTCTTTATAGAGAGAGTTTATATTATCGCGGCCCCCAATCGCAGAGTGAGCTGACTGAAACTCAAAGCCCGGCGGAACCGTCTACAGGAGTAGTATTCAACGATTATCCACAGATGAACACATACGATACATATTCCAGTCAGTATTAATGGCAGCAGTGAGTTGCTAGAGTTATCGTTAGACCCTTGACGCGCAAATGTGACTGCATGAATTGTGTTTAAAGGTGACTTCCACGTTTCCGAGGACGCGGAACTGACGGAACCGACCATCAATCTGCAAAAAGGTGTCACCTACGACGAGCTGAGACGTAAAAATCGGGACGAGTTTTACAAGAAAAGTACGCAATGGCGTGCTTCCGGAGCGCCGACAGAACCTCCAGTAGAGAAAGCCAGACAGCAGGTTCCTACAGCCGACAACCCTCCGTCGATGCAGGAGAAAACTAAATACGGCGACGTGTGGGGTTGAAGCTTGCAAATTAGTCATTGGACTGTCATTTGTTTATCTCGACGTACTGTGAATGCTACATTTGTATATGTGTATACATAGAGATGCGAGTCTGGTAAGGAAAAGTTGAGGGTTTGCTAAATATACGAATAAAATAAATCACGTCCAGCAATAGTCGGGCTCCACGCGACAATGCCGGGACTCGTATTCTCAGCGTCTAAGCGACGTGTTGAATGATTCACGAGTTTAGATGGAAATGCGAGACGTAACTCGTGTACTACCGCTCATAATTGAGTCACAATCTCGCGAGATAGCGGTGAGACAAACGGCTATGAAGCGGCTAATTGATAGATGACGCCAGCCCGTAAATGCAGCTCGCTCCAGCTCGCGAGGCGCGAGGCGGCTGGCTACAAAGCAGCGCGATGTAACGTAACGCTAGGTAATGTAGCGCGTTTCACGGCTCTCCGTCATCCCGGGTATGGTGTCATCCCCGCCGCGTTGTCACCTTGACGTACCCAGGATAGAAACCTCGCTCACTTCCCTGTCATAAGAGCCGTCGCCGCGCGCGTCCGTTCCCTATACTTTCCATAAGTTAACCGATAATTGGCCGCTCGGTATTTGCTCGCGCGTTGCGCCCGCGACCCGCCCGGCCTCCTCCTATCGCGCGCGTCCCGCGGATCTGCATACGACTTTGCCGCGAGTCGTTACATTTCTCTCGGGGCAACGCATTGCTCGCGAGTCGCGCTCGCCATTGTCCGCGCCACCCCCTTGTCGTCGGGCGACGTAATCGCCGCCCTGGTGAAATTACAATTACCATCCAGGTGATCTCGGGTCGGGCCTTTCGTGCCGGCGAAACTGACGCTCGCGTACGGCTCTCGGTGTCGTTTATCCGCGAGCCCGCGACAAAGCGCGAGCTCCTCGCTTACGGCGAAGGTTTCACCCTGCCCGCTGTTGGAAAAACGACGAGACGGCGATGGTAATTGTTACGTAATTATTACATAAAACGGCGAATCGATAACACAATGGTTGTAAGCGCTCCCTGCGTTTCCCAGGCGCGCAAAGGTCTCGGGAGGGTTCGAATTACGATTTACAGCGGCCTGGCGCGATTAACGATTTTTTTCGAAAAAAAAAGAGTAGCACGGCACGGTATTAATAGGATCCGGTTGATTTACTCCGGTATCTCGTCTCGATCTTCCCGTCGTCGCGCGCGCGCGTCGGTGTCGGAGTCGGGGAATATCGGGCGTTACGTTACGTACAGAGGAGTACGCGCACATACACCGTTTCGCTCAACTTGCCGCGCTCGCCCGGTGCTTGCGAACGCGAGTCGGCAACCATTGGCTATCGGGCGCGACCAATGGGCGAGTACTACTCCCATTCATAAGTCGCGTCGCTTCCGCGGGGACGTGGGTGGGGAGGGCGGCGCGCGCGAGCGTTATATACACCCTGCGTCTCGCGGCTGATTTCCGACCGGTCAGCCGTGCTCGTCATTTGCTCGCGCGCGCGCGCGCGCTCCCCCGACTACGACCAGGTCATTTTTAGTCCTAAACTCGATGATGTATTCCGCGCGTCACTGCGTCTTATCACGCGAACTTGTCATTCGCCGTCTATGACTAAATTAGCCCCCTCGCGTTAATTTATCTAAATTACGGCAATTTAATTTTCCCGCGCAAGCTCCATTATTCGCGCGCCTCGTAATTATTTCATTACTTTATCAACGGCGCGTATACCGTCGTGTAATTACGGCGAACACAAAGAGCGAGACACGGGCGTTTATTGCTTAGCCGCGTATCTTCGTTGTATCGTTGGGTTTTCCTTATTGTCGGTTACAAGCCCGGCCTCGAGTTTGCAATGTAAGTTCGCGAGAAAGAGAGTTGACGTAACGCGCCGTGTGTTCGCGGTCACGTTTGGTTTAATGAACGCGCGGCGTTTTCCGATGACGAGAAGGGGGGGGATTTCCGAGACTCGCGGCCACCCGCGCGCGCCCCATTATCCTCCCCCGAAGTTAATCCGGTTCCCAGGAAACGTCGGAATGTATAATTCGCGCCACCGCGCTACGCGTATTTCGGCCATTTCGCCGGCCGGATCACCTCTGGCCCCCAGGAAACTCGCGTCGGAATTTCGAGCGCCGCACACACGTGCGCACGGCGGTGTGTACGTGTGCACCGAGAGTCGCGTCACGATTCACGTGCCTGGTTAAACGATCACGTGTAGAAAGGGGAGTCACGCAGGTGCAGGTCATGTGAAATATTTGCACTTTGTCGTAATTTGCGTAACCCATTGCATATATAATAAATCCGCGCCGCGCGGAGCTAAAGCGCCGCGATAGAAAATCGTTTCACAATCTAAAGAGAAAGGGAACCTTTCTGCCTCGTCGCGATCGCGCGGAAGGGTGAGGGGCGAGGAGCGGAGGCGAAGCGGGCGGGCGGGCGGGGGATGGGAAGAGAGAAAGAGAGAGAGGGGGGGGGGAGAGAGAGAGTGCGGAGATGCATGCGTCCGCTTCTCCGTGTATTATGCGATCGCATTATGGACCCGCGCGGATATCGCGAGAAGCGTCGCATTCTGGACAATCTGGACTCGCTGATCGGATCGATCAATCCTTCAATTCCCCAAGCCCGCATCAGACTGTGGATTGAGATTGAGATTAGATTGAAATTCGACCAATTAGAGTAAACGTTGCTAAACTTGAGATTAGTAAACTTTACTGTGATTGGTCAAATTGCAATCTAATCCCAATCTCTATCCGTATTGTAGTTTGCCACGGGCGGACCCCACTGCCCACATAGCAC